GCTGCATTCATCTTGCAATTAATTTTCATAAGATTCCAGTTGCCTTTAGAGCTCACACATCGCCAAAACCATGCTTCACCGTGGGGATGGTATTCTTTTCACTATAGGCCTTGTTGACCCCACTCCAAACATACCACTTATTGTTGTGACCATAAAGCGCTATTTTTGTCTTGTCACTCCAAATTACAGTGTGCCAGAAGCTGGGAGGCATGTCAAGGTGTTGTCGGGCATATTGTAACCAGGGCTTTTTTTTTGGCATTGGAGCAGTAAAGGCTTCTTTCGGGCAACTTGACCATGCAGCTAAGTTTTGTTCAAGTATCGTCGTATTGTTCTCCTTTTTTTCTCATATTTAAATTTTTATTTTGCCTTTCCAAGTTACAAAGAAATTACAGAAAAAAATACAAAGAAACAAAACTCCTTTAAACAACCACACCGTATTTTTCCAGAGCAGCCTGTATTTCTGTATTTCTCCTGAGGTTACCTGTGGGGTTTTTTTTGTATCCCAAACAATTCTTCTGGCAGTTGTGGCTGAAAACTTTCTAGGTCTACCTGACCTTGGTTTGGTATGAAGAGATCCTGGAATTTTTCACTTCCTAATACGTGATTGAACAGTACTGACTGGCGTTTTCAAGGCTTTGGATATCTTTGTATAGCCTTTTCCATTTTTATAAAGTTCCTTGTTATGCAGGTCTTTTAAGAGATTTTGCTGCTCCCTGTGGCTCAGTATCTAGCTTGCTCAGTGCATCCATGGGAGAGCTAGCAAACTCATTGACTATTTATACACAGACACTAACTGCAATTGAAAAAGTCACAGGAGTGGGAAATGAAACTTTAATTGCCATTTTAATCTGTGTGTGCAACATTGTGTGTTTGTAACAAGGCCAAACTTTCAAGAGTATGTAAACTTTTGACCAGGGCCATTCGAATAATTTCTGTTCTCATTATGATTTAAAAAGGAGCCAAACAACTATGTGATAATAAATGGCTTCATATGATCACTATCCTTCAATAAAATATTTTTTTTGCATGATCATATTTTCATAATCAATGTTAACAAATTTTACAAGTTCTGCCATGGTAAGCAAACGTTTGTGCACAACTGTATATTTGGCATTTATAAAATGTATTGCATATTACTCCACTATTGTTGCCCCTGTTTTCTCTGCTTGTTTTATTATATGCCATTGTCAAAACACTCAAAACGGGCCCTGCATGTTTATCTTCAAACTATATCCCTGACAAGAACTATATTGTCACACGCTGCTAAAAGTGAGCTAGTAGGTAGTTTCACACTTGTGAGTGTATTTCCATCGCCTCTATATTACAACTTAACCTTAAAAAATATCACACTATCAGAGTTTTTGCCCCTGTGTTTATTGTGATTCCATATCTAATCTGCTGACCTGTTGATATACTAGACTGTCATCTGAATTACCCACGGTACCCACGGTACCCATCTACAAAGAACTCATTCATCATAAGGATTTATTTGGGACTATTAGAATACTAGGCAATATGTATATTTTCTCAACATTTTTTTATTTTTTTATTTCCCGCCGTGTATTTGTCATCACAACCATTAAGCGCCACATGTCTTAAATGACCACTATAGTGCCAGGAAAAAATACTTGTTTTCCTGGCACTATAGGGTCTCTAGTTCCCCCCCACCCTTAGGGTCCCCCTCCTGCCGGGCACAAGGGTGAGGAAGGCAGTTAAATATTTACTTTTTCTCCAGCGCCGAGCTCCCTCAGCGCTGGGAACTCTCCGCCTCCTTTCCCCGTCATTGGCTGAATGAGCATGCGTGGCATGAGCCGTGCGCGCATTCAGCCAGTCCACAGGAAAGCATTCTCAATGCTTTCCTATAGACGCTGACATCTTCTCACTGTGAAAATCACAGTGAGAAGCGCGGACGCGCCTCTAGCGGCTGTCAATGAGGAAGCCACTGGAGGCTGGATTAACCCATAGGTAAACATAGCAGTTTCTCTGAAACTGCTATGTTTACAGCAGAATTGGCTAATCCTAGATGGACCTGGCACCCAGACCACTTCATTAAGCTAAAGGGGTCTGGGTGCCTATAGTGGTCCTTTAATTTTCATAGTTACAGATGTAAACATGGAAATGAACTATAATGTGCAATTCTTCCTTTTTTGACAATACTGACACGTGGTGATAGGTTTAAAACATGTTGTTATGACTTGTTTTTATGAATTTTACTTAAATCAAAATTATTCCCCTTCATACTACTGTTAGGAATGTCATACTGCACAGAACCTTCCTTCCAGGAATGGGAAGAAAAGGAAGAGAATATTTAAAACATAATGGTAATAATGTATCCCTTTTTGAATATGCTTAGTAGGTGTGGATCTATTTGACATAGACAACACATAGCTATTTGAAATAGACAGTTCCTGTATAATTATTTTATGTGATTCAGTTGATTTCCCAATACCACTTGATTTAAAAAAAAATCTAAATTATATATTTTATACTGTTCACTTTCCTAGAAGAAAAATACCTAAAATAAAAGGCAACATAAGGAACAAAGTTTGAAAAATAATCTACAAAAACACTAACAATTACTTATTTACATGAACACTAATCACATTACTATAATACAGTTACACGTCTATTTTGTTAACTCATTCATAATTAATTGTGCTAACTTTACGTGACCTTTTTAAATATCATCCCAAGCTTTTTTGTTAGGACAATCAAACAGAAGTTAACTATTTCTGCACTACTACAGGCATTGCAGTAGAGTAATTAATAAGCCTTCTAAGTTATGAATTATCAATAAGCATTCACTTTATACAATAAGAAATTATTCTAGTACTACAGGTTCAATTAAATTAGAGATTAACTAATTAAATGAAATTGATGCTCGTTTTCAGATTTCATCAAGTTTACATTTAGAATTTATAAGGCGTGTTAATTTAACACACTTATTAATTGCAACATCACTTTCAATTAGTGTGTGTGCTTTTTCATTTAGAAAAAAGCAGAAGACAAGTTACAAATAAAATTATTATAATCCTGGATAAAATGTAATGCATAAACAAAAAACTGTTTTTACTTTTCTACTTTAAGTTTCCAAAATGTTATTTAATTATAAAATAAAAATTGTCCATTCAATAACATAATGACAAGTCTCAACCTTAAATATTTTGATGAGAAATTACTAAATTAAGATGTTTTCTTGTAATTTGTCAGGCTTGTGGAGTTCCTTCTAAAATTCCCATTAGGCATAAGAGGTAAAAAATTATGTGCATTGTAGCGGAGTAGCAGGGGTTAATCCAAGGATGCTCCGCTGGAAAAAGATTCAGCATACAGCAGTATAAAACACAGCATAATCCCTCTCCCCAAGGACTAGACGACACATAGTCCGGGAGTCAACTGGCTTTTAATACACAAGCTCTGCTTTTATGTGTTTTTCCCATGCAAGGGAGGCAACTTCCATAATTATTACAGTATCCAATAACATACTCAGTATCTCCCCCACATCTCCTCCCCTTAGCTTAACAGTTAAACTTATTAACATGTACACATTTTTCCCCAATTCTTGGATGTACCCCAAATACAGGGGGTACACCTTTAAATGAGGGATCCCCTGGTAGCCCTGATCTGGGTGAGAAACATACTCAAAAATCACCCAGATCGGACCAGGGGTTCGGGAGTTATTGAAGGGAAAAGATTTGACCGACCACACGGGCACAGTAGCCGAAAATAGTTCCATGAGTTCTGGCCCTGTGGTCGGTCTCAGTTCACTTATAAAAAGTCACGAAAGTCTTTGCCATCCATGCTTGACTTTGCATTCAAATGAATCCCCTCGTTCGCTGGATTCATCCTACCGAATGCTGGGCTGTTCGTGCGTAAGATTCGTCCCTTTCCAGAGTGATGGAGGTCTCAGCGGTGCTGGGTTAGTTGAGTGTCCGATTTGAGTTACAGACACTCGATGACCAAACACCGCTCTTCGTGCGTAAGATGGCCGCCACCACGTGTTCGGCAATTACCAGCCTTTGCAACATTGTTGCCTTCGGTAATTAAGGGCACACGACTGCACCAGGGTGGTCTCTCATTCAGTATTTTACACACTTTCGTGGGTAATGTAATGGATGTAGTTCGGATAACCATTCTAATTGCAATACGACCATTTTAATCCAAGTTCATTCGAATTTCGAAAGTCCTTTCTCAGTCTCTTGGTGGCTATGTTTGCCACATGCATCTATATGAATATAACCAATATAGACTAGTTGAAAACTATCAAAGCCTGTGTCATTTTAAAGATCTGTATCAAGACAAAATGGTAATTAAAATCAAGAACATCTACCCAATATGTACCCAAATATTATATTAAATGTGTGAAGAAACATGTAAATAAAATAATTTAAAACCTTACTTAGATTTTTATAGTAGCTGGATTGCAAAAGAAGTCTTGTAGGGTACTAAAAACTATTTCTCCCTTCCTAGTCATTAGAATGCAGCTGATGTACTTTGATGTTCTGAACAGTGAGGGGGAAGAGAGGAAGTACCCTAAGTAAAACTCATATTGTGGTGTACTTAGCTAACAAATTAGATGGCAGATCGTAAGTTTCTCTACATTTCTAGCAGTTTCCATTTGCAACTGGTATTTGTTATTATTACTCTTAATATGATTAATACTATTTACACACTGATCAGCCACAACATTAAAACAATTGCCTAATATCTTGGAAGTCCCACTCGTGCTGCCAAAACACCTCTGATGAATTGAGGCATGGACTCCACAAGACCTCTGAACATATTCTGTGGTATCTGGCACTAAGCCATTAGCAGCAGATCCATTAAGTCCTGCAAGTTGCAAGGTGGAGCCTCTGTGAATCGAATTTGTTGTTCCAATGCATCCCACATATGCTCAGTTGGATTAAAATCTGAGGCATTAGGAGGCCAAGGCAACAACTTGAACTGTTTTCCATGTTCTTCAAACCATTCCTGAATAGTGATGTTCCGAACGGTTCGCCAAACAGACACATTCCAGCCAATCAGCAGCAGACCCTCCCTCCCAGACCCTCCCACCTCCTGGACAGCATCCATTTTACATTCATTGTGAAGCTGCATTCTTAGTGAGCTGTCCAGGAGGTGGGAGGGTCTGGGAGGGAGGGTCTGCTGCTGATTGGCTGGAATGTGTCTTCTGACTGTGAGGTACAGGGTCAAAGTTTACTCAATGATGAGTCCGCGCCATTTGAGCTACAGTAGCTCTTCTATGTGATCAGACCAGACAGGCTAGCCTTCACTCCCCACATGGATCAGTAAGCCTTGGGCACCAATGACACTGATACCAGTTGTCCTTCCTTGCACCACTAACATCTGAATACTAGGAAAACCTCACATGATTTGCCATTTTGGAGATGCTGTGATCCAGTCATCTAGTCATCTAGCCGTCTAAGGGACACTATTTGGCCTTGTTCAAAGTCACTCAGACTTTGTTTCCTGCTTCCTAAACATGAAATCCAAGAACAGCTAGTTCACCTGCTGTTTTTATATCCCAGCCCTTGTAACAATATAATCCATGTTATTACACTTCATCTGTCAGTGGTTTTAATGTAGCTGATCAGAGCACCAACACATTACAAAAAGTTATACAATTATAGAATAAGGATATTTAAAAATAAGTAATTGATATACAAAATAACATTTACAGAGACATGAGGTGAACAATTACCTAATCAAACGAGGAAAGAACTGCAGGTAAGGTAGAGAGGGGGTTGATGTATTTGATGCCTGTGTCAAAATAAGCTTGTAAAGTGGTGTATGTAAGACCCAAATGGTGGAAGCAGACAACATGAACTGGGTTATGAAAACAGAGAAGTCAAGATGTCAATTGTAATGAGAAAAGAGTCCCCAGGAAGATGTTAAACTTCTGATTGTGATTTTTGTGACCCTTAAATGATTGGGTGTTAGGGGAAGGCATATGTGGCTTTAGTCCTAGACTTTTTTGATCATTGAGTAAAAAATTGTACATTCCTTATGATGCTCACTATGTTATCATTATTAAGATTTACATATTTTATACAGTGCTATATAATTATAGAAATTTGATAATTAACAGGAAGTAATATACAATATTGCTGGCAGACAAAAAAAAAGAAGACAATTCTGTTCAAAAGAGCTTGCCATTTAGGAGGAAGAACAATGTGTCAGAGAGTAGCAGGTGTTTGTATTTAATACCTGTATATAGGTAAGCTTGTTAATGTGTTGTGTTAAAAGATCCAAAGAGTGAAATTATTTATTTAGAGCCAATATATTTCCCAGTATTAAATAATAAGTAAAAGAAAACAATTCTAACAAGATCTCTAAATCCAAAAATGTGATGCAAGTCATACTTGCTATAAATTAATTCAAAATTGATCTACAAATAAACAAACAGAGTCAGAATGTTGGAGCATGAAAAGAAACCAGATACCAGAAAATATTTGTTCATCAGTCCATGACAAATTTGTCCCATTCATAATGTTTTTTCAATACTTAATGTTGTGTTAGGTGTGTATGTATATATATATAGAGAGAGAGAGAGAGAGAGAGAGAGAGAGAGAGAGAGAGAGAGAGAGAGAGAGAGAGAGAGAGAGAGAGAGAGAGAGAGAGAGAGAAAGAGAAAGAGAAAGGCGGGAGGGTTCCTCCTGTAGTTGTGGGAGGGGTTTGACCGACCTATAAATTCACATGCCTCCCTTTCCTCTGGGCTGAGACTTCCTGGTTCAGTACAGAACAATCTACTTCTGGTTAAAAGGTCATCAACACAAACTGCATGAACAACAAACAAGCTGGTCTTGGCCTAATGTGGCCCACGCAAGTATTCATTTTACCTCAGTTAGTCACCCTACGTTCTTTTGTATAATAAATGCTACGCCATATTCCATTTTCATATTTGCAACTTTAGTTACTTATTTTCACCAGGCCTCAGTACCTATATGTATTTTTCATGATTGCCCTCTTGATATTCAGGCACTCATGGGGCTACACTGTTTAGTAATGTTGCTACTGACTGTAAGATCATGTCAGGCCCAAACTTAGGCCTATACATGTGTTCAGCATTTATAGTACAACCTATTAATACTCTGCCTTATTTCACTGCCTGTCATTACTTACATTGTTTTAAGCCCTTTCTGGTCAATAGTGCTTTAAAATGTATGTAATAATTATGTCTGTTATATGGTTATACGGCAATATACATGGTCCATACCTAAATATGTTATAGTTGCACTTCAATCAAGACATGCCACGAACCAGTTCAGCCACTTGGGGACACACCACTGCCCAAAAAATTTATAACATAAACTGCTTAGTAGATATAGCCTAAATGAAAACATGCATTTTTTAATTTTTTTTTTTTTTCTTCAATTGGGATTATATTTACAAGTGTTTCTTAACAAGCCCTACAGGGCCTCTAACACATGGTACTGTCATTAGATTCGACCGTCACTAGCCTCACAATAATGCATGTTACTCTGTTATTCTATCATTTGCTGTTGCTTTCAACCCTATTGTGCTATACCAATTATGCATGTATAAGTGTTAATAATCCTCCTAAGCATTCCACAAGTATGCCTTACAAACGTATGTATTATATAACAAAAAATAAAATAAAAACATTACGTTTCCCTTTCACAAGCTAGACGTTTTATAAACGTATGTCTTATAAATTCTGTTTCCTCCTACGTTTAGAGTACGGCCATCACAGCGTAAAATCAGTTCAGCATTGCATTCTAGTGGTCTAAACCTTATTCCTGTCGTAAATTCTGTTTTATACCCTCCGTTCAACTGGCTCAGTATGTATTGTATAACTTTTTATGTGTATTTCTTACGTTATTTATGTTAACCATTTCACAAGCTAGACGCTTATTTTTATCATTATTTCTCTACTGTCTCATTACTATCATAGCTCCTTTAATTGCTACTTCTCAACAAACTCTACAACCTATATCTGATCTACCAATCACCCCTCCATTACGTTTATCACAGCCTCACGTGGCCACCCTGCACCTCAGGACTTACATTGGGTCCCTTCTTGGCCTCATATACATAGTCCTTTGCAAAAGGCCCTCAATGGGACTTTGCAACGTCCGTTTTACATGACCCTCAGTGGGCAACATACTATGGTCTTATTGTATTGCTTCATTCGGCTTTTCATTTGCATAACATCCACTTACAGGGGTTGCATACTACCCCACCAAAACTACACAATATCGATAAACTAATCATGCCTTACTATCCTTCATCATATATGTTGTCCCATGTCAAACACTATGGTTCAGTAGTGTCTATTAGGTAGAATCATCATCACCTACATAGGACACAGCCTGAATATACTTATATGTTGCAAACGATTGAGTGTCATTAATACCTTTAAACATGGTTCTTTTTTGACCTTCACTACATTTGTTTCACAAGGCCCTCAACACAATTTTGGCTCCTCATTTGGGCTTGAAATGAAAGGCTTGCTTCACGAGGGTTATATACTGCTTATATTACTTGATTGAATTATACTCTCGGTCTTGCTAGAACTACTCCAACCCAATCTATATGGACCTCTTGGAGCCTAAGGAATCCGGGAAACCTTAATCTTAATCCCTCATCCGATAAATTTTATCCTTACTCCACATATTAAGCCACTTCGGTCATGGTATTGACAACGTTTCATATGACTAGTCACCTACATCTAGACAGTTAATATTCTATCATGTTAGTTATTTGCCTCATTTTTCTTTAATCACAGTCTCAGACGGCCCTCCACTACATACAACATTGCCACCCTGGTATTCATGGCAATTCTCCATACCACTACATATGGACCGGTTCAAACAACAAAGGCATCATGCTTGACCACAATTCTTATAACCTTGATATAATTATTCCACGTGTGTTCGTTCCATATGGGCGTACCCACCATACAGCCCTATTTTTTCCATCTTCCAGCTCAAGACTTATATTGGGCACTCTCGACCTTTCGCTACAATACCTCTGCACATGGCCCTCATTAGGCCTTCACTCTAAACGTTTACATACGGACCTCTTCGGGAAAACCACTATGATCCAATTTCGTCCCTCCATTTGGGCATTTACATACAGCATTTTCCTGCTTACAAGAGAAAACTACAACCCTTTCATATTACATTTTACTATTCCACCTTGCCTCGCTAGGCCCACACAAGACCTCCCTATATGATTCCTATCTCGGCATACTCCCAAGAACCCAGAACCCCTCATTACGCAATTATACGTATTCAGGCCTCTTCGATCTGTCTATTTTCATTAAATCAGTATAACGCACACCTTTATCTAAGGTGATTACTAGATCTCACAATTCACTTCACTCTTCTAAGCTAGAGATGTTACATACATGTTTTGGTGTTTTAGTTACTTAGGCTATTTTTTCTCACGCATACTTCAGGTCCTTGTAGTAGGATGCACAGTGGGAACTCATATCTAGATTCAGTTCAATCAGGTATCTCTTTTCCTGACTCATTTTGTTTGCCTAGGTATGTACTCATTATTCATTAGTTCCATTATTTTTCTTGGTTCCCACCATTCTTACTTATTAACCTGTTGTTGAAGTATTAATCCTTAACCACAACACAGGTACGTTATTTCAATTAGCACGTACACCATCCTGGACATATTCCCATTGTTTCTTTAGGTTCCTCTCTACGACATCCTTTCTCAATCTCAACCTCACTAGTTGGGCAATGTACGTACGTTCCAACATACTTTTTTATCAATCCATTACATTTCTATTCCCCTACACTTCTTAGGGATAGCTCAACTGGCTGCAAAGGGTTTGGTGAAGGCCATTTTCTAGTATATATTAATAATTCAGTCCCACAAGGTCAACACCCATCCTCACCCAGAGGTATTCACCCATCGGCCCAACTCATAGCTAGAGCCTCGCTCCAACCTCTACAGGTTATTCGATAGGGTCTCACCTGTCACAGCCACTCATTTGAATCTCTTACTTGTCACCGAGAGGCCAACATTCACGCCACTTCTTACTGTGACCTCAGTCCTTCGGCCAAAATCACAGCTAGAGCCTCTCTGAGCCACTAGGCATTTAGCAAGGCCTCACCTTTCCCTTGTATAGCTAATTTCTTCACCATTCGGCACTTAGCAAGCTGCCAGTTGATACAGGGCTACACTCTCA